GGGAGTCACGGGTGATGCTAGACAAAAGACAATCACATGCTACCAATACAAAGGAGAGTCACATGTATAGGCCAAGACAAATGATGGATGCAGCGGACATCAATCAAAGGGGCCAGCCAACTGGGAAAGTCAACTCTAATAGGTATATATTTGATCAGGATATATACCAAAGAATAGGTATCCAAGAGAGAGTAAAATAGAGTGTGCAAGCCTCAACAAATAAAGTGGAAGGGAGGCCTTTGTAGGACCAATACCTCCAACAACGTACATGAATTCTCTTAATCCTGATACAAATTTCGGATTCTAACTTGTTATAATCATAATATATAGTTTTAAGTTATCTTTATTTAATGGGATATTTTGACTTTGCACTCCGCTTTTTGGGTGATATTGGACTTTGCACCTCATTTTCAAAACTCTTAGACTTTGCACCCTATTTCCCCTAAAATGTCTTTGCCTTTGCACCCCATTCAATATTTTTTTGTTCACAAAATGTTGTAGATAGGGTGCAAAGCCTAAAAATTTTGAAAATGGGGTGTAAAGTCCAATATGACCCAAAACGTGGGGTGCAAACTCAAAATTCCCCATTTAATATGTCAATTACACTATTTCCTCATTATAAAGTTGATTTTCAAAATACAATAGCTTGTTCAAGATATAATGGAGTAATTATATAACATAAGAGAAACAAAATAATATAACTAAACAATAAAACAATTAAGAAGTTACATACATCAATAACAATAATTTTTTAGAATATAAGACACCATTAAAAATTAGGATCGGAGAAGGAATGAACACAGACCTTAACTTCAAAAATGCAGACTTTCCTAAGATTCCTTTATTCTCCTCTCTCATTTTCCCTTCTCTTCTTCTCATAGCCGAGCCCTATTTTTTTTGCCTATTTTTCTTTCTTTGGTTCATGACCTACGATCCTGCCTCTTCCCCTCTTCTTTTTCTCTAATCCCTCCCCCTATTTATTTCTTTGCAGCTGAACTTTAATGAGTGAGCTACTGATGAGCAGGCCAGGTGTAGTGTCTATTTATATTTGCATGAAATTTTGTTTCTTTGTTTGAGTTATACTTAGGGTTGGGGCCGGTTCGGTTCTTACTCAAAATGAGTGGAACCGTTATAAAAATTTTAACTAACGAAATCGGTTCGGTTCCTATATAAAAAATCAAAAAGTAAACTTACGTAAACGGTTCCTATAACGAAATCGGTTCGGTTCGGTAGTAAACGGTCCGGTTCTTCCTTTTACCGGTTCCTAGAATAATTTTTTCTCGTCTAAGAATTAACACATAATTTTAAACACGTCGAAAATTCAAAACACGAGCATTAAAATTTTATTTGAAGCTCTAATCACTTCAAACATCAAAGCTCAAACTTACGTAATAAACTTCGAACACTTAATAGAACAAAAGTGATTTAAATTTTCATGTAATAAATCAAACATTAAAAATCGTTGTAGTGTCGGAGCGATGAAGATTACTCGTCATCATAGTAGCAAGAATAGGACGCCTACTTCAAGTCTTTCAAAACATAAAAAAAGACATTGAGTTTGCATGTATAGATATAAAAAAACATTATTACATTCTATAGATTCATAATAAATCTAATAATTAGAAATATCATGAAAATAGTAAAGTAAAATGTGTGCAATCAACTACAAGTTATTTGAGTTATTTTATATTTATAAAATTTATGTGATGGAACAAAACTTGATTTGTAGAAAGGAGTTTAATGTATTATATCAACCTCATGTACAATATTTATTACTTCTTTTTCGTTGATTAAATTAGAATTGTTAGTTAAATATCTTATATTGTTTTATTATTATTGTTGTTGTTGTGGTGGTTGTTATTGCTATTATATTATTATTATTATTGTTGTTGTTGTTGTTGTTGTTGTTGTTGTTGTTGTTGTTGTTGTTGTTGTTGTTGTTGTTGTTGTTGTTGTTGTTGTTGTTGTTGTTGTTGTTGTTGTTGTTGTTGTTGTTGTTGTTACTACTACTATTTTTTTTATAACGGTTCCATGCACATATTTTTTTATAGGAACCGGGAACCGAACCACTATAACCTGTTTCGGTTCGGTTCCTACAAATGAGGCATTAATTGTTAACGGTTCGGTTCCTAGATGTTGTTAACGGTTCGGTTCCAATCGGTTCTACGGTTCCCGGTTCCAAATGAAGTGTTTGAAGTGTTCCAAACTTCATTAATTGTAAACTTACATTTTACAGCTTCCGTGAAACTCAGTTTAATGAAGTGTTTTCTTTGGATTTTTTAGCATTGTTAGTCTCCAAATAAGGAGTTAAATCCTTCCATCTTGATTTTGCTACATTGGATCTTTTAAAATACTACATCAGTCTAAAAAAGGTTCACCATATTGACTTTTCTCAATGAATGATGACCATATTTGGATCTTTTAATCATCATACACACACATATATGTGTGTGTGTGTGATTTATAAATTTTATACTCTTATAAAACATTTTGAATCATGAACATTCTGATATAATTTTCATAATTAAAATAATATTATATTAAAAAATATCATTGATCAAAGTTGATTACCATTGATCATGAAAAGTTAATTTGACAAACATTTTCAGAACGCAAAGAGTACATGAGTGACACATAGGTAGGTGGTCGGATTTTTATGTTTCAGCTTCATCTTTCTTAACTAAAGTTGTAGACAAACATCAGTTAAAGCTTCCATGGCTGGTTAAGGCAAGAAGTTGAGATTTGATACAACATTATCTTAAACTCATTTGACATATAATCAGCTAAAGTAATTGGCCTTCTCGCACTCTTGAGGGACCCAATCTATTTATTACTCCAAACTCTTTAACTTATCTACCACTATTTTCTCAATCTATTTCATCTCATAACCGCTATATTTCATAGCGGTGGGTAAGTGGGTACTCACTTGGAATGTTTTTAATCTCTACCAAACTAGTTCAGATTTAAACAAATCATATCAGATTATAGAGCAGAACATACATGACTCTTCAATAGTTATAAAATAAACAGAGATCAAACAACATTTAGCAAATCTCAATCCAGGTAAAAAACATCCTAAACATTCTCACTTCGAACGTTTATTGCCCTTTCTTTACTAGGATGAGAGTCTTTTGTAAATCTCTTTTATTAAAATGGATTTTTTTGTTTCAGGGAACCTTTTCTCCCAACAATGACTGAAACAAATCTCCACACAATTAGTACTTGCGCCAGAAGCTACGAGCTCAACAATCCTCCCCATTAGAGTGACTTAGGATTCAAAGTTGATAACTATATAGTATATACTGTAGTTTTTTCTGCATGATTGTTTGGTTGATGCATAACTTAAAATATCAGGTACTCCAACTAAATTTATCAAGAGAACTACTCATGTAGGAGACATATCAAGGGAGTTAATTTTGAAATTTGAAATGATATTAGTACATACAAATAAGAGATTTATGGTAAGAGCTAATAATATTGCACAGTAAGAGAGGTTTGTATACAAAGTCTAGTGGCTATTTTTGCAATCGAGTACAAAAACTAACTAGCATTACTAAATAAACTTGCATTTCAGTTTTTAAATGTCAACTTATATCACACTTAAACTCTTACTTTATATAACAAAATTTTATAAAGATTGAATTATTTGTTGAAAACTTTGTAACTGTTTTAATGTAATTTTATTTACTAAAAATAATCTCACATGGATCATTTAACTTATCACCCGTCAAACTTAGTAGCCCTAAAGTTTTATTAGGACGGAGGTATTATCGCCATACAAGGGTTAACAATATGATTTACACAGTGACTGATAAACCCTGAATTGATAGAGCACTAATCATTTTAAATGAAATTGAAACGCCATTACATATTCAGTATTTTGTTAATACTAAGTAGAAAATAATGCTACATAACACAATGGAATAATAAATGTAAACGGCGTCCAATAACCTGCAGGTATTTGAAACTGAACTAGTCTATGAATTCAGAAACTCAAAAATTCCTCTGATCCAGCATAAGCAAAACTATAGCAACCACATGTAGAAAAGCAAGGTTTTGGAGGCTTCGACTACCACTGCGAACGTCAACGTCTGATGGGCACTTTGCTTCCATAGTGAGCTGTATGTACTTTAATCAAGAACACTTGGGATCATATTTTCCCAGCAATGTCATTATTGCCTAGAAAAACGAATAGTGATCTTGCTTGCAATGGGTTTCAACTTTCAAATATAAGATTCAACATATCAGCTTATTATTATTACCAAAAACCGGCAAAGTTGTTACGTGTTAAACATTGGCAGAAAACGAATTATTATTACTTAAGCCAAAGTTACACTAGAGGTCAGTTTGTAATGGCAATGTTGTTCTGTATTTTGACTCCAGTCCTGATGATGAGAAAGGAAGGAGATTATGGACAGCCACTTGCTACATGAGTTTAACATTGGCAATCAAACCTATTAACCAGTAGGATGATCACTTAGACAAAAAGACTCAATCACACATTTAAAAAAAGTTTAAAGACCACTTATTAAATTGCCTCAGGTTAATCCATTATGATCCTATGGAATGTAGTTTCACGAAGGGGGTTCTCCCTGCATAACAGGGTCCTTGCAAAACTACATCTCATGAAATTGGATTGGGTCATCACTGGCAAATTCAAGAAAACTATTACAATGAAGACAAAAAAGAATTCCTTGAAAACAGTGTATTAGAATTAAATGCATCAAAGTTATATAATCATTCAAATACTAATGGGTTCCCTAGGGTACCAGGACATGGTTAAAATATATCTCATGTGGGATGGATTCAGCAACCATTATGAAAGTAATCTACAATAATTACAGGAAGAAGTTTAATTAAAAAGGGGATTTTGTGCTATCGCCACTGGTTTCTTTTTGCATTATTAATTAATTAATTTAAAGCAATATAATGTAATCTTTTTTTCCGTATGTAAACTTCGATTTTGCCGCACATTGAAAACGCTTAAAAGTTTTTTTGTGCTATAAACCAATGCAATGCTTGGTCTCTTTGGTGAACTTTTTGCATAACAAAATATAGAATACAACATCGTACGGAGTAAAAAACAAGGAAAAGGGATGAACTTACCTAACAAAATTTTAATTTTTAAATGTGTTGCTGGTAACATCACACACCTCAGACTATGCAAGCCAAATGGCAAGTATAATTTACTCAGAATTTGATACATAGGTATCCAAACAATCATCCAAGTTATATGCCGATATCCCGCCCATTTAGCAGCAAGTCGAGCACCTATCGCTCACGCAGCACAAATCAGAGTAATCGGAACCCTCGTTGCCATTGAGGACCCTCACCTTCCTTCTGATCTATGGGCTTCCTCGAGTGTTGAACAATGGCCAAAGTGAGATATGAGACCATCACCACTGCTTGAACCCATGGCTCTCCAACTGCAGCAAGCACAGCTGCAACCGGCAATGTTGAAGACACATAATCTCGCTTCTTTACCCACCGGCCAAAGCTAAACAAACCAATCAGAAGTGTCCAAAAGAGAGGCTCAGAAATGTAACCTCTCACAGCAAGAAACCCGATAACGGCAGAGATTGTCAGAAGATAGGGTTGGCTGTTTACAGAATCGGGAACAACAGACTTAGCCATGAAGAGTACAAAAGATGCCAAAATGATCATTTTTGTTAGTTCTTGAATAGGGGCTTGGTTGATTACTAGTGAGTAGAGAGCATGGATGTTGTGCAGCGTTGTGTCGACAAAACTAACGGAGGCAACCAATGGATACGTCAATAAGTGGAGAATGCTAGCGAATGCAATCCTGAAAATGAATCCTATGGATATGAAGAGAGGTTCCAAGACATATGTCACTGGCTTCATCCAATTAGACAGCTCCCACAAGACAGTCCTCCAGGCATAGAGAAGGAATGCCAGTACTACACATTATTGACAGCAACCGGGAGATATGTTAATGCGCTTATATGGATCTAATATTTGAAGATTAAGGTGTTCCATGAACTATATAATGTATTAATATTTAACCCATGAAAAAAATTAAAAAATGAGATTGGTTCAGGAAGTCAATTTCCACAGAGTTGCAGAGAAAAAACAAAATAGTTTCATTTCAAGAAAGAAAAAGTTGCTTAAATATTACTGAGTAACTATCATTGGACAAAAATGCTACTACCTTTATCCCAAAATGAAAGCAATAGTATACTTCATATTATTTACAAGTCAACACAAGTCAACTTTGATCTGTAATTTATAGTTCATATTTTTATCATATTTAATATCAACCTTTGCTATTTAATAGAACTTTTAATGTAGTTTCAAAATATGTAAATATTAATTTTTAATTCTAAATTTCTAAATAGAGTATTGTCAGGAAATAGCTTGCTTTATCAACTTTCAAACCTCAAAATCTGCAATGACACTTCTATTTACGGAAAGAGGTAATGTTTTTTAATTATTTTAGGGAAAAAATGTTTGCAACACATCTTCCAATGACAAATTATAAATGCAGTTACCAACAGGCAAATGGACTTGTAACCGTTGGCATTAGTTGTATCCTAGAATAAAATGTTTAACATTTTTGCCCAATGGGACTATTCAATTTGTAATCTTTAAGATTTAAGGAGAACACTCTTTCCCCCAAAAAATCTGACCCCAAACACATGATAATTCACCAAACATTTGTAAAACAAACACAAGCATAAATGATACGCAATGAACTCAGTTTCCCATCAAAGTGATCCAAAAATGGAGACAAGTATATCTTATCACCAAATAAGTCACTTACAAAGAGATCAATCCCATATAATTGTATATAATTTTAATCGAACTATCAGACTTCCTCAAAATAGTTTCTTATATACCCCAAAACAAACAAAAACAAAAACAAGACCCTTATAAGATAAATACCTAGGCCTCATTACTGGATATATATATATATATATATATATATATATATATATATATATATATCAATCATCATTTACCCCAGTGCCGCAAAGCTCCCACCTATGGTGGGGTAAGGGGGGTCGGATGTACGCAGTCTTACCCCCTAAAGCGCAGAGAGACTGTTTCCGTATGACCCATAATGAAAATCGCGTCCAAAAATTGCATGGACTGACTGCTGCTTCATAACAAAGAAGCGCAGACAGTTTGGTGAGCCATTTTGCTTTATTCCATCATATTCTCAAGCCAAAAAATAATGAATCTTTGGCTCATTACTGGATGTTATGTTAAAAATCCTACTAAAGTTAGCACCTTTGGAAACAAAAGTTAAACCAATGTAGGCTTAATGACTCTATATGTAACTATAGTACTCTTTCGAAGAGTCCATTACTGCACTAAAACATGAAACTTAAACAAAAAAAATCCACTAAGAATTTCATTTTTCTAATTGTCGGTGCCTAGTGTAGCCGGAAGACCCAGAACCAACAGAGAAATAAACTAATTTCATGTTTCTTAATGACCCAATTCAGAGAAATTAGAATCATGTAGTCATGTACTTCAATACTTCATACAATTTTTTTATTTTCTCTCAGTTTTTTTCTGTCAGTAATAGTAATATTATGTATATGCTAATCATCTTGTGGTACTTTGTTTAGTTCTGGTAGCTCAGAATCACTGGTTAATACATAGTTTGGTTTAACTAAAACCCACTCAAGAACAGGGGAATAAATAATTGCACTTATAGTACAAATCCATGAAGCTAGTAAAGAATTAGGACAAATACCCAACACAAAAACAAATTTTGGTCAACTCTCATCTCAGAAAATGAACATTCAGGCCACATAGGGTCAAGGCGTACAAAGGGTAGTAGTTTTAATCACCATACTCATACTCATAGACGCACCAAAAGGAAAAAAGGAAGTTCAAACAAATGATTTTCTTAGGTTGGGCAAATTAAAGTTTGCACCGCACTTTTCTTTCCAATTTGGGTTTGCACAGCATTTTCAATCACTAAAATTTGCGCCTATTGTCATTACGAAAATTAGAGTTTGTTAACATCTTTTGAGATTGCACCTAGAAGATTGTCCAAAATTGGAGTATGTGCCCAATTTTTCTTCCAAACTCAGTTTGCACCCTATATTTAATTTACACCCATTCAACATCTTTTTTTCTGGTAGCAGGTGAAAATATTAATGGTTTGAAGAGCCAGCTCCAATTTCTAAGACAAAATGCCGTGCAACCTCTTATATTCCCTTCAAGTTTCATCACTTCACCACATACAGGCAAGCCCAGTCCACTATAAAATGTCCAAATACTGGAACACTAAATAGCTAGTATCTTCACCTCATCTTCATTAAACAAATGCATAACCACATTTCCGGATTAACGTCAAATTCAAAACAAACAAGCAAAACAAGCATTTTTAGTAAAAATACTAAATCGGAAAATATATATGATATATACAAATTCAATTACCTATAAACAAAGGCCACCTCAATGGCTTTTCGGGAGCTTCTTTCATCAAGTACCTGAACCTCTCTGGCATAGAGCTCTCTCCCCGCGACTCTATTTCATCTTCATCCACATCTTTCTCCGTCCCATCACCACCATTTTCTGCTTTGGCCCAAAACCCATTATTCCTTTTGTCTGAATATACAAGATCCTTTAAGAGGATGCCATGAAATTTGTTACCTCCTCTTATTCTCAACGTGCTAGTTCCAGGTTCTGAAAAGCCAAATGAGGCTTTTGAATTGGCATGTATCCGATTGACAAGGGAGAAGTGTGAGGAGAGCTGCACTGTTTGTTTGTGAAATATATTCAGAGAACGGAGTGCTGAGATCGCAATCGACATGGCGTAGGACAAAGCGAAGGTCCTATGAATGCAAGGATGAGGGTTTTGGGAAAGAGTTTTTGCAAAAACTTATCTCATTCCTGGGTTCGATTTACCAGGGCATGTCCCAGCTACTTCTCGATGTCTTACTGCAAAGATAGTATAAGAAAAAAAATAGTTCATAAGGATTTATTATCAAAAATATATACATAACACAATGGCTTAACAAATCAGGTTGGAAAATAACAAAAACATGTCAAGAGTATTTTTACCAAAATTAAAACAAACAGACATACCTGACTGGGAGAAGAGAGAAGGTAGCTACGGTGCATGTTGTGGCCTTTGTGCAATGTATGAGCTACGAAGATTAACTAATAAAGGAAAGGGTTCATTAGGATTTATCAACCAAGACCATAACTATAACATACAATACAATCGATTAAGACATCAGGATGCAAAAAAAGACTAAACATTTCAAGAGTATTTCTGAAACAACAACAAAAAAAGTAGACATAGTTAGATGACCTGTGAAGAAGCCAGAGTTAGGCAACACAATGGTAGCAGGAGGTCGGATAATGTATACAGAGTATGTATGTTGAATTGTTGATGATTGGGAGAAGGTGGATACTATTTGCAATAGCCTAAGGAAGGTGTGTATGTGGTCGGGAATGAACGGACAGCAGGGGTATAAACTAGGGCTGGGCACGTGCAGGGTGGTCGGGTAATGCAAAATAAAATGGAACCACCGGTTCCATTATGTGGGTCGGTCCGATCCGGGTATTGCAATTTTCAAAACAGGAACCGGACCTTACCCGGCCCGTTTGAAACGGGTTGGTCTGGTCCAGATTTTTCAGTTCCTGTAGCTAATATAGGAGTCATTCTGTAACCTGTAATTTTCAGCAATTGTATTAACCGCAACTATACCAAAAGATTTGTATAGAAGGGGAAGGCAATGAGTGATCAAACTCTATCTAAAAGCCAAAAATAAAGAATGGAGTAGGTCACTCAATGCCACTCATTACAAATTCGGTAAGCCTCAAAAGTAAAATCCAAAAAAATACCACATAAAACACTCATAAAACCCGATATATATATATATATATATATATATATATATATAAATCTAAAATGTTGATGCCAACTATAAGTTTGTTCATTGTTTGCTTATTTAGATTCATTGTTTGCGATTAAAATTTGGCAAAACTAATACTCAAAAACTCATTAAAAAAATCAAACAAACATAATTCTTCTGTAATTATGAAACGAGAAGACATTCTCAAACAAAATGAGAAAATCATCCATTTCATCCTCGACAAAATATATATCTGCTGCAATAATTAAAATAAAATGTACACCTTCAAAATCAGCGGACATGAGTCGCGTGACTATGCGAGGCCGGTGTGTAGGGATTTCTCTGTCGGTCTGTCTCTATGAGCGTGAGGAAGCCTCTCTTCAATCTTCAGAGCTCAGAGCATTTCTCATCGCAGCAGAGAATGGAAGGCGACTCGCTACTATGTTTATCGATTCAGGTCATAAGCTTCGTTTAGTCTCAGGGCTACTGGACTTGAATAGATTAAAGTTAGAAGTCTCTTACAGAAGTTGAATAGTCTCTTACAGATTTAAAATGGACACGGCTTAATGGGCTTGGGTAATATTATAAATATAAAACTAAAATTTTACGGGTCGGTCCGGGTACCCGTTATTCTGAAAATTGGGAACCGGCCCGACGCTATATTAGTTATTACCCGCCCCGGCCCGTTTTAATTTTTATAAATTAAGGGGGTGTTTGGATCTGATTCTTAAAACTGCTTATGCTCCTTCAGAGAGCAGAAGCAGAAGATGGAGTGTTTGGGTGAAAGTGCAGAAATGATTCTGGTGCTCTAATTTACTGCTAAAATCAGTTTTTTTAGAAGCTGGGGGTGACCAGCTTCTGAAAACTGATTCTGCTTCTGCTTAAAAAAAGTAGAAGCAGAATCAGTTCCAAACACCCCCTAAGAACCGTGCATTACCAGCCTCGACCCGTTATTACCCGCCCCAAACTGCAGTTCCGGACCCGTTTGCCCACCCGGACCGAGTAGGGTTTGGCGTAATGGGTTGGGCCATGATTAAATGGGCTGAATAGATATCTACAAAATAAAACAAGAAGTGCCTGAGAATGAGCTGAATTCGCTCTGAATTTACTCTAGGCCCAGATACGCTAATATTTAGAAAATTTTCACATTACAAGCCTGTTTAGTAGTACGAAAATCGACTGATTTGGTTGATTCTGCTGAAATGTATAAAGTTTTGACTAAAGTGGCTGCATTGGCTAATTCTGCTGATTTAAGAGAAAAATATTTTAAAGTATATTTTATTAATAAAATAAAGAAAATTTTTTATGTAAAAATAGCTGAAATAATCATCTACAGTGACCTCAGCCAATACAGCGAGACGTGAAGGATTGAAAATATTGAAATGCAACCCCGGTGGTGCCTCCAGTAACTCAACTAGCTTTCAAGCTCGTGCGATGCACGGGCAATATGTAATTTAGGTAATTTGAAATTTGATTTCTTTCGGATCATATGTAATGTGATTTAAAAGAAAAATAAACTTAGTCTAATATAGAGCTTATTTGATAATACTATTAACATAGATCGAATTAAAAAAAAATCTGGCTGAATGGGCTGAATAGGTGGAATCTCCTGAATCATGAAAAAAATATGTAAAATACTATCCTCCGTCTCGTTTTAATCGCAACATGTTGAATTTTACACTATTCACATGTTCTACTTGAACTAGATTTTATATTATTATTTTATGAAAATTATTATTTTTAAATTATATTGTTCAATTCATCTCATTACAAATTTTCAAAATCTAATTTTTAAATATTTTTTACTAATAGGGATTAAGATATAATTACGGTCAAAGATGTGCGTTGGCAAGTGTGAAATGTTGACTGTTGCAACTAAAAAAGAACGGAGGAAGTATATTCCACTTGCGTAACCAAGAAAAAATTATATGAAAAATAGTTAAATTGATCTTCTACATAAGCATCTCAAGTAAATATAATTGTTATGAACCCGATTTTAAAGAATTCATCATCTCACGTCTTCTGAATTACTTTATTATGCACCTCAAGTTATTTTCTTCTACTATTCCTCATTCAACTTGATGTGAAATACTGAGTACATACTTTTAACTTTTAATAATAAGATGTTATATTTTACTGATTATTTCATCACACTGTAAATTTAAAAAAATAGAGTTTTTTTTAACATTTTACTCATTATTTCATTACATTGAAAACGATTTTTAATTGTTATGAACATCTACATTACTTTATTGAGCATTTCAAAATAATACTTTTCTAGCATTTGTCATTAAACTTGGTGTAAAATACACATTTTAAAATTTTAATTGTGAGGTCTTACATTTTACTCATTAATAAGGACATTTTTAATGGAATTAAAATTTTGGGTTTGATTTGGTATGAATTAATAAGATCGAGTAGATGTTTGTTTTATATTTTATGTGACTTATTATTATTATTATTATTAATGTTGTTGTTGTTATTGTTATTATTATTATTATTAGGGAAAAATAATTAAAATACCCCAAACTTTGAGAGGGTGTGAGGTAAGCACCCCAAACATGCATATATAATTTAAATATCCCAAGCTTTTTATAAAAAGTTATTTTAGCCCCATGGTCATGTATTATTTCTTTCAAAAATGTTAATTTTTAATGTTAATTTCATAATTGAAAATATTTTAGCATTCACGAAGATACAATTAACATTCTAAACTTCCGATGTAAAATAAAAAAATATTACTCCCACTCTATATAATTGCAACATTTTTAAATTGCTATTTTAAATTCTGCAATTAACACCTTAAATTTCTATTTTTGAAAAAAATAATATATGACTATGGTGCTAAAATAACTTTTTATATAAAGTTTGAGATATTTAAATTACATATGAAAGTTTAGGGTGTTTATCTCACACTCCTTCAAAGTTTGGGGTATTTTATTTATTTTTCCCTTATTATTGTTATTATTATTATCATTAAAGTTTGATCTGATCTGATTTAATCTGGAACTTAAATCAATCCAATTAAAAAAAATCTAGGAAAATAAAAGTAGGAATTTGTTAACATATAAAGATTTTCTAATTTGGATTAGGAATCTATTTCAAAAGTGAAGGCACATTTAAATTGTAGTTGTAAAATAAAGAAATAACCAAACATATTTACTTTTTTGACTAGGCTAAACGTATTTACATGTGAAAATATACATACATATATATATATATTTGTATGATATCAATTTTCATCCTTATTAAATAAGGTAAGCTACTTGATCAGAAGTATTCTTTTTAAAAGATTCTATATTAGAATATCTAGGGGTGGGCAAAAATACCGAAAAATCGGTATACCGCACTCACCGTACCGAAAAATACCGGAAAATACCGAAATATTAGTATACCGTCATTTTCGGTACGGTATCATACCGTACCGATCTATTTCGGTACGGTAACGGTAAATGTTTTCAAATACCGCGGTATGCCGGTATAATACCGTACTGACTCCCTAATCAACAATTACTTTTAATTACAATATATTGTAAAAATCCATTACAATTTTGAAGCCCAAAATTAATACTTAAGTTGGTTACAAATACAAAAATACAAAAATAAAGGCCCAATTTCTCAAACCCACTATAACCTTATAGGCTTCTACTACGCTGACCTTAATGACTAATAAGTAATGTACAAATGTCAAGAAACAAGTCCATCTTGTTCCAAGAGCTTGCAAGTCGTGATGACTAGGCCGCTAAGTAGCTGACGAGTGAAGAGAGATACACTTATGTGATAAGTGTATCTACATAGGGATTCCGCGAGTCGAGACACACAACTTTGTCCGAATGTCTTATTCAATTTTTAAAAAATCATAAAAATGACTAAATACACAATATCATATTAGGAATAAATGATTTTATATCCATGTTGTTTGAATAGTTTTATTTATTCTTGTTAGAGATCACTATTGATTTAATTATATCCATATTGTTCAAGTTATTTTAGGAGAATGTGTTACTTTTTAATATGTAACATGTTGAACTGCTTAAATATACTAATAATATAATTATTGTTTAATATTGAATTGACACTTTAATAATAGATTTATTATGTCGCTAGTAATAAAGATTTAGTATATTTCGTTAGTCTATGATAATTTTTTGTATTGGGAGACATGCATGGTATAATTTACCGATACCATACCGTTACCGAACCGAAACTTCGGTATACCGAAATGTGGTATACCGAAACTTCGGTAAGGTAAAGGTATGCAAATTTTGCATACCGAAAGTTTTGGTACGGCAAAGGTATGAGAAAAAATATAAGGTATACCGTACCGAACCACCCCTAAGAATATCTAATAGTTTTAATTCTGTTTTCAATTTCAATTATATGGTGGTTATAATTTTTATCATTATTTTAATAATTAAGAAAGAATTGTATGAAGATGGAGCAGAATGTGAAGTATTAACACAATTGCAAATCCAGGGCTTAGAATTTTAATCATTATCTCTTTGGAAAAAAGAATTTTTATCATTATCTCAACATTGAGTTTAGAAAATAAAATATTACATTTAGGAAATGAGACACTATTATTACATTTTTTTATTTTTAACAAATTACTTTGAAGACAAAATTAATAGCAATTTGATTGATTTCTAAGTAGAAGCAAAATCAAAATTAGTTTTTTTAGTAATTGTTCTTCCTGTTCTTGTAAAGAACTACTTCACGAGCAATTTGGAGGCTTGGAGCATCCAAAATTATTTCTACAGTTTCACCCAAACACTCATATCTGTTTTTTCTCTTTGAAGGAGCATAAGCGATTTTATGAAGTAGATCCAAACACCCTCTTAATATAGAGTTTATTTACATGCATTACATACTGAGATAACTTGGATGAATTGAGTAAAATCATTTCACGATTTACCCTTCAGTGCTCCGCCGAGCCCAGGTATGAATGTGTGTAGCTCTCGATAATGGGCGATTCAACATTCTAAAACAATGAAATTTAATCTAAAAAAAACAATGAAATTTAATTTAGAATTGATTTGTTCTGAAGACTTAGAATTGTTTGGTTACAAATATAAAGTTCAAAATATAATTACAGTTTGCGCTAAGATTACGAGGAGGGTAAGTGCATAATTTTGATGCACAAAATTTAATACTCATCAAATACGTAATGAGTTTTGAAAAAATTACCAAATTAATTAAGGTGGATTTCTACGGATTTTTTTTCCATATCAATATGCAATCAAAAATAGAATCTAGCTAATACAAACAAAAGGTACAAAAATAACTAAATAATTGTTATATATAATGACAGTGGAGGGTTCTAATGAGAACCCCTCTTAAACTTCAAAACTGCAATTACAAATCCCATTTCTTACCACAACAAAAAATAAATAAATGAAAGATGCTTCTCTACAATAAAATCATGAAGTATGTTCTGGAACTTTGCTCTGTCATGATAGAAAGGAAAATGAGCTTCTTGGGGCAAATGAAGGAGGAGAAAGAGAAAGGTTTGACATGGAGAAACCAA